ATTTAAATCAATAAAAACGTTACATTTGTGTAAAAAGATGAAAAAAGTTAAATCATCAATGAGGGATTAAGTGACACACACACACACACACACACACACACACACACACACACACACCTTATTTAGTAACTACTGTTTTAATAATACATGGAAGCTTCCGACATTCACCAGTGGGGTATTTAATGTCTGAGAACAAAAGTCTTATTAGCTTGTGTAGACCATAGACCTTTTTGGGGGGTTTCTGGTGACAAAAACTAGCTGGAAGTGCTAAAATGCGAAATAATTTCCATGTTTAGGACTCTCTACAGCACAAGCTGACATGAATCATGGCCCCGGTCACTATACAACAGTCTATTTTAACATGTAGAATAACTTGCATGAGCAGAGATTATGGCTCTGCGTGTGAGACCCTGACAGTACCGACCTGCTCCACCACCGTCTCCAGCACCGACCACAGCTCTGTGGCTTTCTCAAACTGCTCCTGCTCCACAGCGCGCTTCACCGCCTCCGCCGCACTGCTGACGTCCGCCAGGCCCGCATCGTCCAGCAGGGACTGCATGGCACATGGGAACAGATATTTAACGGGACGAATTATAATAAGGAGGTTGAAAGCAACTAGGAACATTTACTGGAGTACTGTACGCAATGAGAATGTTATGGCGAATAAACTTCTACTCCACTAAATATTGTACTTTTTACAGCATTACATTTATATACGATGCATATTCTTCATACAAAAATATAGTGTTTTGGCAAGTTGTATATAATTATTAATATGAGCTCTACCTTTAAAATCTGCTACATTGAGGTGTTAAATTATTGACATTAATACAATAATATGATATGTATCGTTTCGTAATAGTCCATTTTGCATAATAAGAATGTTTACTGTTGGTACTTTAATTGTATTTTGAAGCCCCCTACCCTTGTACTCAAGTGACATTTTGATACTGATAATATTTCTACACTGTTGTATCACTACTTGTAGTAAAGTAGAAGGTCTGTGTAACCCAGCTCTGAAGAAGAAGTGTGTCCAAGGTGCGTTACTTACAGTAGTGTAGAGGTACGGCCCCCAGGTCATGACGGAGTCTGTGGGTGGAGGAAACCTTTTTTCAGAGCACACCTTTGATAAAGCTTTGATCACGGTCAAGGATTTTACAACTACATAATGCTGAGCAATTAATTAAACTGCCTTATAAATGATACTGACCCAGGGGGGAAATCCAAGAGTCCCCGAGAGCCACACCAGCAAAGTTACATTTCACCGTCCCCTGTGTTATAGCCTGGAAATAGAGGAGAGACATTAGAGTTCAACACGGTGATGAATCCTGAAGATTTTCATCTCAATGACAAAAGCGGTTTGCCCCTGAGAAAGATGGTAGAGAACAAAAAAAAGAAACTCAATAACACCAACATGTGTCAGTTGCTGTGAAACCAAAAATCTAGTCACTGTCATATTGGAAACATTTACATCGAAAAGTATCAAGTGTACCCTCAAAACAAACAATGACACTTCTGAGAATCAGGTTTTTGACATGTAGGTTTCTATAAATAGAATTTGTTTTGGTGTATAATGGGGCAAACATAAACAGTCAAATTAAATAGGTTGTGAAAAAGGAGCAAATATAGAACTAGTATAAAACTATTTGAAATAAAAATAAATGTTAAGAGGTAGAAATATATCAAATGTGACACATTTTAAAAATAAAATATGTGCAGTATACTAGAATTTAAAGAGGATGAGCTGTGTACTTTAAACAAATGGTAGTATTGAATAGAAATGTGCAAAATGTACAGTATTGTCATTAAATGTATAAAGCAGAACATTTAGAATGATTACGTGTACTTTACAGAAGAACTTGCTGACTTGCATGTCTGCCAACTCATCATCACATGGCAGCTGTTAAACACGGGAACTTCCATCGTCCCTGAACTCACCTTAGTGAGCTCCAAGGAGAGCGCAGCGGCCATCTTCCCTCCGTACGACTCAGAGAAGATGTAGAAGGGCACGCTCTGCACAAAGACAATTAGGGAAAACCGTTTCTAAAAAGCCAAGGCTGTAACCATGAAACATGAGATACAGTATATCAAGTTGAATATAGATACTAGCAGTTTTTCCTCTGTCAGAAAACAAAGGCCTTACAGGATACACTAGGCAGCTACTGTAGTATCATCATGTTCTGTGTAGACTGAGTATTAGTCATTCATATGTACGAAAAATATAGTTTTCATATTCCGCTTGTAGTGATGTAAGTTCAGGTTATTAAGATGTTGCATTAAAAAACAATGGACTAACTGTTTAAGTTACAAAAAAGTGAACCAATACAATATATATATTACAAAAAGTTCTTTACATAAATAAATTGTGTATCAAAACTTTGTCTAAAACAGTCAAATGCAACAATATTAATATTTTCATATATATATATATCTATATCTATATATATATATATATATCTATAAGTGATTTAATATGTTATATTATATGTCGTATAATATATATATACATTATACGACATAATATATCATTAAATCACTTATAGATGCCTTTTTTTGCAGAATTAGCATTTTTTATACTTAAAAGTACATTTTCTTTCTATAAAACTTCTTTACTTTGACTTGTAATGGAGTATTTTGACAATAACGTATTGTTACTTTTAGATGGATCCCAAATTGAGAAATGATCCGTTAAGGATCCCAGTAATTCTTCCACCACTGATCATAATCCAATCATTTCATCTACACGGTTCTGAAAGGGGCCTTTAGTCATGATGAGTACTTTGACTTTTAATACTTAAAGTATAAATTGAAGCCGATACTTTTGTACTTTTAGTTAATAAATGTTTGAATGCAGGACTTTTACTTCTAACTAATAATATATTACAGTTTAGTATTGCTACTTTTATAAGTACTTCTTCCAACACTGCCCGTAGGTAGATTTGGTTTGAAGTTTAAGGACAAGGTGACACACGTTGAACACAACACAGAAAAATCTATTAAATTAAAATAAGAGTATCCTAGGCTGCTACAATTTATTCATTTAAGCGATAGCTGCTGGAAACTGCTCTGTTCTACACATCGGGACCAGAACTTCCAGCCTCAGTGTGATGAAAAGTGAGTTATACTCAAATCAGCATGTCTGGAGTGTTAACAGTTTTAGAACCTTCAGTATTATAAAATGAATCAGGGTCAACATGTGTCACTGTTCAGTACTGGTGACAGACCTGGAGGTCAGCTTTCCGGGTGAAGAAGTGCTGCAGCAGCACCAGCATGTCCGAGGCCACCGTGGCTACGTTGGTGGCGAAGGCGTCGGGCTGGTCTGTGTAGCTGAAGCCTGTCCCCACAGGGTTATCCACAAACAGCACGCTGGCTGCCTGCACCTGAAACAGCAGGTCAACCAGACGACAACAACGTGACCATCATCAGAGTCGGAAAAGGAACAATTTGTTGAAAGATACAATACTATATTGTCAGATCAAGTCAGACATTTGTCTTGCATCAAAGCAGCTCCATTTGCAACATCAAACAAGGAAAATAAGTATTTAACATAACACTGAAGAGAATACATGCTGAAGACCCTCTAAACTGAGTTGAAATTCTGCTCAAATATGTGCATGACTTTTAAAACGCTCCAACAAACTCTTACCCAGCTGCTCTTTCTGGGCTCTAGGTCCCTGTCCAAAGGTCCGATCTCTTCGAAGTTCCCAAAGCCACTTCCTGATCCTCCTGGCCCCCCCTGAAGACACAAGGGGCAAACATCCTCATCATGCTCGGGAGAGGCAAGGCACCTTTCAACACAAGGCTATTCAAGTGCTTTAAAAAAAAAAGAAAAACATTAAGAAATAGTGCAGAATGGAATTTAAAAAAGTCATAAAAAAGCAAGGAGAATAAAATGTATATTAAAAAAAAGCCAATACAAGAAAAACATTAAAAGCATTAGGAACAAATTTACTCTCATATTCTTGCGGATTGCTATTCTTGGACCCCATCTGTAGTCACTTAAGTACCAAAGGTTTGTAGTATTTGTACCATCACTTGAGCAATAGTGCAACCCTGTCTCCTAAAAATGACGTTCCCACAGAACTAAACTGCATTCTCAATTACGTTTAGCAAGAAACGTATTTTCTCCCACGTTACGTTTCTTATGAACGTATCTCAAATACGTTTATTCTCTACATATCTTTGCCATTTATTGTCTTGCTTATAATAATGATAGTCATTTATAAATATCATTTTAGAGCACACCTTTGAAATCAGTAGACGAGGCTGTAATTTCGCCAGCTGTTACTCTCATGAGCGAGGCAGAAACTAATAGTTTTAACATGCCAAAAAGCTGCTGTGTCGTTTATTGCACCTCAAACATTAAAACAAATCCAGAATTACGTGTTTCTGTACTTCCTCTAAGAAGAAAGGACAGTAACAGAAGATCTCTGTGACGCCAGATGTGGTGCTGTTAATGCGATATGACATCCGAAAAAATATTCAGTTTAGGACAAACCCTGTGAATAATCTTCAAGCTCTGGGATTGGATGTTGGAGTGGCAGTGCGCCAAGGTTACGCCGAGCGTCCAGCTCTTTGAAATGGAACGAATCCACGGCAGACTATTCAAAACTGGACTTGAACCCCCCCCCAGAACTTCACATGCTGGCTATTGTGTTTCGCAACATGTTCTCTATGGCACGTCTCTACTGGGAATTGTAGTTTTAAAGACATTTTCGTTTTTCCCAAAATTAGAAGTTGACAGTATTAAACTGTGTACAGCCCTGGAGGTTTAGGCGATATGAAACACACTGGTGTGTACACATTTAAAACATGTAATTACTAAAAGGGTGAACATCGCTTGTTTCCATAATGGGCAGCATTAATATATAGCCACATGACAGCTCATTGTTACTTTGTAATTCTACTCTACTACAATTCAGAGGTTAACCTGGTATTTTTACTCCACTACATTTATTTTAGTTCCTTTGCAGATTCTGATTAATTATGTGAAATATAAACAACCCTTAAAGCAGACTTTAGTTACACCTGAGTAAAATTTAGGGAAAGGTGATTGTCAAGTGCCAACAGTCAGGAGAGATATTTGATAGTTGGTGCTTGAGAAGACTAAACATTTATCTGCAGATCTCTATAAAGTATATTAATTACTTGTTATTCTCTTCTAATAGTTAATTAAAGACTGATAATTGCTATTTTGCACATCCCTTTCAAGATTTCAAGATTTTCTAAGGTTTATTGACATATAATATACACAACTGTGGTTTAGTTATGCAATGAATGAAAAACTTGGGTCGCAGGTGCCTCAACAGTGCATTACAAGACATCTATCAATATGTGTGTATACCTCCACCATTAAACTGTCATATTCTGCACATTTCTTATTCTATCTAAATACATAAGAGTATCATTCATATGTATAACAACAGTTAAAATAAGTTCTCCAACATAGTTAACATTGCAGGAAAGCAATATATTAGACGTTAAGTACTTTGTCAGGCTTAATATTTATCTTTTGATACCCCCAAAGCTTTTTTCTTATTTAACAGAAGACCTTAATCTAAAGTATTATTTAATGTTTAAATAAAGGTTCATTCGTTTTTCTGTTTTGCACATCCTCCTAATAATATCTTTGTACATCCTGCACTAAACTGTTTTATTGTAGAGATCACTTAGAGTATCTTCTTGATTTTTTATATTGTATATATTTTTATCATTGACCTTGTACTTTCCCCCTATGAAAGTATGTACTCTTAATATTTTTTTCATCAAATATAAGTATATAACACATTAAAACAATAATTCAATAATGTGCTTAAACCACTATGCGGTGCACACAAGGTGAACACAGCCATAATAACTTTGTATTATTAGTGTAGGACACTTACGTATGTATAACATCTGAAGATGTGTAGTTTTATTCATGTTTTCACATAATTTTACAGGATATTGCTATAATATTTCACATGTTTTACTTCTACACATTAATATCTGATTTATATCACAGACAGAAAGGTACATCCGTCATTTAATGGTAAGCTATTGAAATTCTGATTCCATAGATGTGTCTCCCATCACCCAAAACCCCTGACTATTCTCTCAACTCAGTATTTACATTCTTATATTCAAAGAAAATCAGTAATATATTTAAAAACTACAAGTCCTTTTCTATCAGCTGTGCACCGGTATGGTGTAAATACAGCCTATCTACCAATTGGATCAAATATAAAAGTCAGCCGAATTAATGTTGATACTGCAAAGAGACGTATTGTGTGAAGACAAATTGAAGATGTTGTTTAATTGCTGATATATTTATGATCCACGTCACATATTCAGTTTCCGTGGCAGTTCTTCCAGTTTGTCTAGAAGTCTTCTCATCAGGGCTCTATAAATAAAGAACTACGGCAGATGTGTAATATTTAATGCAGCCGAACCGTGTATTACAATGCCGTTATCTGATGACATTCAAAGAGAAAAGCAAGCACACTCGGAATAAAGTTTTTTTTTAAAAAGGTTTATCGCATAAACACCATATCCCAACGTGCATTACGGCTAAACAATCCAATCACCGAGCTTAAACCATAGCTGAGGATCTTGGGTAAATGGATACTGTGTAATGTGGGTATGATGTTAAGGTTGGTGTTATTGGATTAACAAATATCGATGTGCGTTCAAAGTTAGCTGAAAAATGATGGGAAACTTCTCAGAGGTCTTGAGGTTTTTACTTAAATATTTGTATTAAAATGCTGTCAAACTGAAGTCTCCAACACATATACATTTGTTGTGCATGACTTCGATAATGGCCAACCTCTGTAATCACATTGACAGCCCATATGAACAATAATCGAGGGGAAAGTTTGGACAATAACCCAGGTTACGCATGAGACTGGACATTCAGCTGATCTTTGACGAACTATGAATGTTTACACATGCAAAAAACGAACATAGACTCCCTCTCACACACTTTGGGAGTTCAGTTGTGATGTGATGTGTTAACTTAGCTTTGTATTACAAATCCAGCAGTGGTTGTGCCAGTGAAATAAATAATGATGTTTCACACATATGTTACTCAGTCTGCCAACTCACTCTCCAACTCAGGAGAGGAGCTGAAAGGAGAAAGAGTTCTACTCTCGTGAAAAAGTTCCTATTGTAAATTTCACACTGTCACATCTTCTTCTACGATACTCTCTACCCTAAAATGCCCCCTCTCCTTCCCGTTAACATACGTCTGTTTTGTCAATATCGTGAGCAACAAGGAAAATCCCCATGGTAACTCATCAGAAACAACTCACCACCTCTTACACTGGTGCATCCATAGGCAAAGAGAAAAAGGGTCAAGTCATGTTTTCTCAGATATGTGAGAGTTTTGTGTATTTGCGTGAGTGTGTGTGTGTTTGCATGTTCAGGACACGAGGGTGGGGTATCTTGGCATGTCTCACCACAATTCAATGTTTCCTTTTAGCTCTATTGGCACTCTGGTGTTCCTGTTGGCTGACCTTTTCTCTTCCTGTGAAGTTCCTGTCATGCATTCTCTGTTTGGAAGGTCAAATGTCTCTTAGTCAAAGCCCGTTTCACTGTATGATAGTATAGAAAGAGGTCTATTAACCCTCCTGTTGTCTTCGGGTCAAATCTGACCGATTTACTACTTTCATCAATCATAACATTTTTGTTTTACATTCGATTGCATTAACGCTTTATGATATCCTTCACAGTAGACATTTGATCATATGAAATTGCTGACCACCACTTTCATTGAATTTTGGATGATTTAGTCAACTTTGTAACACCCATGGTGTTCCCGTCACACACACACTACACACACACACACACACTTTAGATGTGTTCCCCCCCTTACTGTTTGTGCCCATCCCTCCATGTGAATCACACCTGGCACACGCATGTTCAGTGTCTATTCTTTGTATATTTACTGCACTTTTTCATGTACACCAGTAGTCTGATACAATATTTACAGTTTGAAAGGGTGTTAAATTACATTTGGAGATGACTAATGGTTTTTGTGTTAATGTAATAGCAGTTAAAACAGGAACGGCTAAATTTGACCGCGAACACCAAAGTAAGGGGGGGGAAACGAAGACAATAGGAGGGTTAAACAAGAATTAGAAGTGAATGATGTGTTTAGCATAAATGGTTTTATGACATGTTAAAGTAACTGGCCCTTATTTAAAAAAGAACACATTTCTTCACCATGCGGTCAAATGCATTATTTAAATATAAAACAAAATCTTAGGGAACTATAAGATTTCTATATTTGTGATCCCTCTAGAATACTAAAACTGTGAATTAATAATTTCCAATGCTTGTCTCTGAGTCTGGATCAAAGTAAAAACAGAAATTAGCCGTCTGGATAACCTATTGTTGCTAATTGCATAGAGATTTACCTCCAGGTGAAATTGTAGGCTTTGCAGATTAGTTACTTCCTGTTAATGGTCACATGGCTCAAGAGGAAGCTTTGCAAAATCAGGTGAAGTTAGTTCGGTATTTCAGTATTTCATTCATTGGTTATAGCATTTTTTGAAGTGAGCATTAAAGGTCCCATGTCATGGCCATTTCTACTGATCATATTTCCATTGTTGAGGTCTACTAGAATAGCCCCCCTGTGAGCCCAGTGTGCTCTG